GCTCTTAGCCAATATTTTAAGGCGTAAGAGGACAAGTTGTGTTTATATTTGGGCCAAGCGTGGCTTGTAGTTAACAACTCATACTGTGAATCCAAGAATTCATGGTTCGCGACTTTGCTGGAAAAGTGTATTCCGTACATTATGATCCTTGGTGCGTTATAAGTGATGATCAAATCAAACTAATCGGTCAGGCAAGAGTAGTTCAATAACACAGGCCTGCGAATTTAAAGTTCATAAAAGTTGTTTTGGTTTTAATAATGGATTTTCCATAATTCAGCTACGCAGATTTCGAAAGTAATATTCATTTTCTTCTATCACGTAAGGACAAATCGGAAAGAAAAAAAACAACTCTTACTTAGATCAAATTTGCCCCCTCTCCCAGTGGTATATCTGTGGACTTACACAACTAGAAACCGGGGTTCGATACCCGTGGTGGGCAGAGCACAGATAGCCCTTTGTGTAGCTTTTTTGCTTAACTACAAACAAGCAAACTAGATCAAATTTACAACAAATTTACCACAAATACAACAGAATATGTTTGGATCATTTACACAACCTTTTGTTGCCATAGCGACGAATAAATAATATTGGAAAGAAAAAATAATGTCAAAGTGCACGCACAAACAAATACTACCCAGAAATGACACGTCATGTGGCCAGTTAACTGTTCCTATACAAGCGGTGTATTTCTCGTGGGTTCTAGAACGATCGATAAGACTCTCACGTCGCGATTCGTCTAGATAAAACTATAGCCACTGGTTGTCAACATTTTAAGTATAATAAAATTAACCCGATTTGAATGAGAGTTATTAATTTATGTAAAAGTACGTAGGACATATAGTGAAAAATCTGTACGTGATGGAGAAAAATGGATATCATTTTCGGTTTCAACGTACAGGGATTACAGAAGAACATCGCAGGCCTGTGTAACTGACGGTGGATGCTCTCGATTACTTGCCTTCCGTATAGTCTATCAGTTCAACATTATGAAAGGTTTTATGTAGCTTTGCGCAAAAATTCTGAAACAAACAAACTAACAGCTTTAATATTTCGCTAGGGTTAGTGCAGTGTTTAACTGGTTATGTTTCTTCTTGTTTGTGTTATGGTGTTTGTATTTCATGTAAAGCTCCTTTCAATAAGCTTAGTCATGTTTGTCAGCTAAATAAGAAATATAAAACTCACTCTACAACAAATAGAAATTAAAACTATAAGAAGCAGTATTGATATCGATATAGTTAATTTTAAGAATGAACCATTAGGATGAAGATATACATATTGGAACAAATACGACATAAAAGCTTTAACACGTACTTACTCTGTGTCATTCTTTACATTTCCAAATTTTTTCTGATAAGGGACGAGAACCGAACGAAATTTTGTAAGTAGTGTAATTTCAGAAATTAGTGATTTTGCGAATAATATATTTTAAATAGTTATGGCTACAAAGAATCTGGAAGAAAATACATTTATAATTGAAATCGTCTGTATAAGTTAATTTCTAAGGACAAACTCTGACAAGCCTAACTTATGAAAGTATATTGAAATACATATTTGTTAAAAATTCGGATTTTTTTTATTCACCGCGGGATGCTCCCCAGTGGCACAGCGGTATGTCTGCGGACTTACAACGCTAGAATCCGGGTTTCGATACCCGTGTTGGGCAGAGCACAGATAGCCCTTGTGTAGCTTTGTGCATAATTAAAAAACAAACAAACAAACAATATTCCCCGCGACAGACAAAAAACAGGTAGCCCGTTGTATATCTTCGTACAAAGAAAGTTCTTGAAAATTAGACACATAATAATATTTACATAAAAACAATCCAAAATAACGCTCAATAATTTGACAAGAAGGCATATATATTTACCTGAATATCCTCTGAATAACATTACTCTAATACTATTATAAAGTTTGCATTTAATAACTTTTGTGGTAGTCAAAAATTTACAAATCTATAAAATACTTTATTTCATAATGAGTTATTTATAGATCCTCGAGACGTTACTGAACAACATTTAGACGAAAAAGTGCGAATTAGTATTGTTAAGCAGCTATAAACAATTACATGTATTATCTTTAGCATCTTTCAGCCGAAAGATAAACTGAAAAAAAAGGTTAGATGAAAGCTTATAGCACTTTTAATCTATTCTAAGTAATATCCATCATACTTTTAAACCCCTTTATTGAAGAACTAGACAAACATATAATCAAAACCAAAACCTAAAAGTCTGCCACACATTTCGATACCATGTATGAAATGGTTTACATTAGCTATAATAATAGCACGTGGTATTCTGTTGGTATAGAAGCGCCCGTGCCTTTGTTCACGTGGCTTATGCCTCTAAGGGTACACCATAATTAATAAAAGATATGTAGAAAGTAATTAGTGTTTTTGTTACAATTTTACTATTTTCTTTCCAATCTGAGATGTAGTCTTCTACTATGAACTTTCTTTTGTTCAAAATTATCCACCCATTTTTAAAGAAACTGTAAACATTAAAAGTGCGTTTTTCAGGATAAAAATAATTTTTCAGATATATTAAATATTATGAAAAGATTTACTAGGTTGATAAACTATAAACTAGTCGAATACGAATTTTGTTCAAATGTCCTTTTTTTGTACAGGTAATCCTTTAACACATGGTTTGTATCTTTGTTGAATTTCGTGCAAAGTTACAGTGCTGTAGCGATTAAATTTTGATTATTGTATCGACATTTACGTTGTTTAATAAGTTGGTTAAGAATGCACTGGTAGGTCGAGGGTATGGTAAAGTTTTAACTATTATTTCCTAATGCATTAAAATTATCGTTTAAAATTATTCCTCCAACATTTTTAACTCTGTGGTACTTCAAAAGGTTAAATACCTATGTTAAAACAATTTTGGAAACTCACCACTTCATTACAATCCATGTCACCATGTCCGATCATGCTCTATATGTTGATAATCTTGATAATGGATTTGCAGTGTGGTTTTCATTGCAAAAGATTCCATTGTAAGATTATTATATCCAATGAACTCTAATTTTCTCTGCATGTTTTCCATAATCCATCTAGTGTACAAGGATAACAGATTTCTAGTGTCCGTTTCAAGTTTCGACGGTCTGATCAAGCAGCAATCCAAACACTTTACGTTCAGCGATTTGCCAAGTATGTTCTTGTATGGAATAGCATAGATACCCATTTAGTTCTTAAGTTGTTTGAAGTAAGCAACAGTTGAACAGGAGGTGTGAGTGGAAGCTTCATCATGGTGAACCCATACCTCGTTGGCCTCATTTCTGTACAAAGCAATTATTTTTGTGTGGTATAAAGGTTTAATAATATTGTTTTGATAGTAAGCAAAATCCATCTTGACCTTTGTACCCACACTCCTAACCTTTAACTTACCCCTGGCGCAGTAGCCAATGATGGTCATGAATTCCTTCGAAAGAGTTTTGTGAAATGCCGTGTACCACTTTTGGAACAAATTTCACCCATTGACGGATATAAAATGACATGAGACTGTTAACAAGGTACATATGCTCTGTCGAGTGTCACAACGGACTGTCATTCCTCGCTGGCTAAGTATCGTTCACACAGTTTTCTACGGTTGGTCTTCTTTTCCTAGATAAGTTGTGGAAGCAGTTTGTCTACATATGATTTGTGTCACTTTTCAGAAGCAGATTCTTCTTATGTTGGGTACTGTGGTTGAGACACATGAACGGCTTTTGCCACTAACTTTTGTGTTCGTGGATTCTCATCTTTTACAAGGAGCTGCACTTTTTACCACTAATGGGAGTATGACTTGCTTTAGGTATTTTACTGAATAGTCCTGGTATCCCATGTCGATCCATATTCCTTTGTCTTCCAATGTAATTACATAATATTCCCGTCTTTGAAATTCTAAATGCCCGATCTGAACGCATCTTTATGGTCTGAAATAATTTGGGACTGTTGCATACCCTCTCCAAAAGCTAAACAACTTCGAAATGTAGTTTTGATATATTCCGTTTCAGTGAGTCTTTATATCGGCTGTGGTTGTCATATGACTTGTTCATTTGCATATTCAAAATCGTTGTAATATAATTTACTCTATCCTCTGAAGCTCTACAATTTGTTAGAAATGAGCGATGCAAGTCTATGCCAGGAAACGTACGAAGTGAAAAGGTTGAGCTGAGGGTCTCAATATGACATAAAAAACTGTTTTGTTTAGAATAATCAGAAAAAAAAGACACTGCGAAGGAAGTTTATTGCATGAATTATAAAGAAAGTTTGCTTGTTCTAAAAATAATGAAGAAATAGTTTTCTGTAAAGAATTGTGAATATTTGTGCTACTAAAATGTCTTTCTGTAAGAAAACGTTTAAAAACTTAAAGTAACATGTAATTTATTTCATACCTAAACAAAAGGGCATACAAAAAAACCCACAGAAACTGAAGATGAATCACTATATTTGAAATAAATCCGGGGTTACAGACAAAAATGTCAAAATTATTTCAGGTATAGTAGGCAGAATACGTAGATTTTATGCAAGGAAGATTTATTTAATAGCAATGTAATGTGTCAGGGAAGTTTGAGGTCATTAGGCCAAAGTTGAATAATTTGGGTTTCGTTTAACAAACAACCGCTAACAGATATCACAGGTAACTACACTTATTTGAAGTATACCAGAAAGTTAAATTATCAGATGGTTGAATTAATATTATTAATGTTTTATTTTAGAATTAGATCCCATATATTATTAGGTGAGAGCCTAATGTTGTTTTGTCTGTTATATTAACAGATTAATAAATATAATACAAAGTTGAAACGATAACAAAAAATAATAAGTGGTTATCAGTTAGTCTTTTGGATACTTTATAGTAGATTTTGATACAATAGTACATAAATCATGTTACCTTCCCAATCGTGCTCTCATTTGTCATAGTCTAGTAGACAAAAATCAACTTAAGATAGAGGTTAAATGTGAATATTTAAAAGTTTTCAATTGAGTTTTCACACTTCACTTAAAACCTGGAACTTACCAGAAAACACTGTCCACACCATAACCAACAAGATAAATGTTACTTCAAAGAAAAACTTGTTTCCTTGATGTTCTTTTATGGTTGTAGCTTTCATAAATGGTCTTAGATTTTTTGACGTTAGCCGCATTTCTTGACACCTGAAAAATAGAGTTTGAGATAATAATTGGTAGGTGGCGTCTTCAACAATTTTTTTGTTTGTTTGTAGTTAAGCACAAAGCTACACAAAGGGCTATCTGTGCTCTGCCCACCATGGGTATCGAAACCCGGTTTCTAGCGTTGTAAGTCCGCAGACATACCGCTGTGGTACTGGGGGGCAACAAATTTTTTTATGATATACATAACCAACATAATTAATAATCATTGTTTTTCATTTATCAATTTTATAAAATACAAAGGCACATAAACATTTTTTTATATCCGTATAAATATTTAAATTTAAAGAAAATATATATATTACATTTTTAATATTCCTATTTGATTTGACGAGGACTTTCGACATTATCTATCGTTATGTTATACTAAATTTTTCCTTGAGGTAGTCCTTGGAAATGTTTTAAGATAATGAATAAATTGAATATAGCGGAGTAATATGAATATATTACTAATTACTAAATTTTTCCTTGAGGTAGTCCTTGGAAAAGTTTTATGATAATGAATAAATTGAATATAGCGGAGTAATATGAATATATTACTAATTACTAAATTTTTCCTTGAGGTAGTCCTTGGAAA